GGGTTCTGGGGGGTTATTTGGTTGCTTAAAAAGATATTATTGGGAGAAAACATTTTAAAAATATAATTGCTAAGGTTTCTAATTATATACAATAAAACAAAACCCATCAGAAATGGGGATTAAATTAAAAGCACATTAAAAGATCTCATCCTGATTTGGGTGGAACTTTGACGCTGATTAGTTCTTGAAATAGAAAACTGTAGTACTGGTAAAAATTTCAAGGCAAACATGCCAGCAGTCTGGGATAGGTGTGGAATGGACTGGGGCATTTAAAGTAGGGAGAAGAAAAAAAAAAAAAAAGTAGGAGAAAACAAACCACAAGTATAGATCACACAATGTAAGTTAAATTCCTTAATCAGCTTGCACAAAAGCGCTAAAAACCAGGATATGGTGTTTACAAGAGACACTTAAAAATAATGCAAAAAGGTGAAGATCAAAAGGCTATGCTGGGACCCATGAAACAGGTCACCAGGAGAAAAAGGGCAGCTGTGAAGGGAGCAGCAACACGGGACTCAGGGCAAGGGATCACTGAAAGGGACACAGACGAATGTTTCTTATGATGGAAAGGACAAGATAATCTTAAAGAAGAGAGGACAGTCACAAATCTGTAGGCACCCCGGGAAAGATAAAGCATTAAATAAAGCAAAAAGTGTTGGAAACAGAAATTTTCACACTTGATATGAGATTTTAACATAACCACAATGATATGAGATTTTTAACACAATTCCCTCAAATTTGACAGACTGGCTTAGGGGAAAAAAAGACCAAATGGGGAACTGGATGCCATCACCACAGGCTCAATTTAACAAATATGTTTTAAAGTCAGTACCTTACAAAAAGTAATCATTCTTTTCCAAAGTCTGCGGAACAGTTATGAAAATTGACCGGGTATTAAAGAACAAAGAAACCCTCCCTACATCCCAGACAACAGAAATATCACAGGACGTGCCCTCTGACCTCAAGGGCAAGAAAACTAAAAATTAGCAAGACAATGGTACACAGCCCCCTCACCTCCAGACAAACTATTAGGAAATTAAAGAACAATTTTCTAGGTAACTTAACAGACTTAAGTGCTTAGGTAAGGACAAAATAATGAACTAAGTAGTCAAATAAAAAACTGACAAAGTGAAATATTTAAAACAGGCAAAAAAGAAGACTTAAATAGACATTTCTCCAAATATGATATACAGATGTCCAACCGGCACATGAGAAACTGCTCCACATCACTAATTATTACAGAAATGAAAATCAAAACTCCAACGAGGTACCACCTCATAACAGTCAGAATGGCCATCAACAAAAAAAACTTTACAAATAATAAATGCTGGAGAGGGTATAGAGAAAAGGGAACCCTCCTACCCTGTTGGTGGGAATGTAAATTGGTACAGCCACTATGGAGAACAGTATGGAGGGTCCTTAAAAAACTAAAAATAGAGTTACCATATGACCCAGCAATCACAATCCTGTGCATATATCAGGAAAAGATACATGCACCTCAACGTTCACAGCAGCACTATTCACAGTAGCTAAGATGTCTATTGAAAGAGGAGTGGATGAAGATGTGGTACACATATACAATGGAATATTACTCAGCCATAAAAAAGAAAGAAGGGACTTCCCTGGTGGCACAGTGGTTAAGAATCCACCTGCCAGTGCAGGGGACATGGGTTCGATCTCTGGTCTGGGAAGATCCCACATGCCACGGAGCAACTAAGCCCGTGTGCCACAATTACTGAGCCTGCGCTCTAGAGCCTGCGAGCCACAACTGCTGAGCCCGTGTGATGCAACTACTGAAGCCCACGCGCCTAGGGCCCGTGCTCCGCAACAAGAGAAGCCACCGCAGTGAGAAGCCCCTGCTCCCGCAGCTAGAGAAAGCCCGCACGCAGCAATGAAGACCCAATGCAGCCCAAAATTTTTTTTTAAAGAAGGAAATAATGCCACTTGCAGCAACATGGATGGACGTAGAGATTATCATACTAAGTGAAGTAAACCAGAGAAAGACAAATACCATATGATGTTGCTTATGTGTGGAATATTAAAAAAAAAAAGAGAGATACAAACCAACTTATTTACAAAACAGAAAGAGACTCACAGCCATAGAAAACTTATGGTTACCAAAGGGGAAGGGGCGGGGGATGGATAAATTAGGAAGTGGGGATTAACGCATATACACCATTATATATAAAATAGATAACCAGTAAGGACCTACCGTAAAGCACAGGGAACTATACTCAATATTTTGTAATAGCCTATAAGGGAAAAGAATCTGAAAAAGTACACATATATATGTATGTACATATGTACCTATGTATAATTGAATCAAGGTGCTGTACACCTGAAACTAACATGATGTTGTAAATAACTATACTTCACAAAAAGCTAATTAAAAAAAAAAGATTACATGAGGGTTGCAAAGCGGGCTAAAAAGGGGGAAATGGAAATATTACTTCTAAAGCCAAATGAAACATTTTTAAAAAAAAGGTTAAAAACCTCCATCTTAAGGAAAAAAATAATACAGGAAAAAAGGAGTAATAAAGAAAAGTAAATATATAAATAAATTACTTTCACGAGGAAAAGAATTTTAGAAGATAAAACCAAAAACACTATGGTGCTGGTAAAAAGAGATATATAGACCAATGGGACAGAACAGAGAGCTCAGAAACAAACTCACACATGCACGGTCACATGATCTCTGATAAGGGTGCCAAGACTACACAATGGGGACAGGGTAACTTCTTCAACAAATGGTGCTGGGAAAACTGGACACCCACATACAAGAGTAAAAAGATGGACCCTTATCTCACACATCATATACAAAAATCAACTCCAAATGAATTAAAGACCTAACCGTACGACATGAAACTGTAAAACTCCTACAAGAAAACATCGGGGAAGAGCATGACATTGGAATGTGCAATGACTTCTTGAATATGACACCAAAAGCACAGGCAACAAAAGCAAAAACAGACAAATGGGACTATACCAAACTTGAAACCCTCTGTGCAGCAAAGGGAACAGTCAAGAGTGAAAAATGCCACCTACAGAATGGGAGGAAGTATTTGCAGATCATGCATCCGGTAAGGGTTAAACCTCCGGAATATGCAGAGAACGCCTAAATCTCAGCAATGACAAAACTAACCCGATTCAAAAAGAGGCAAAGGAGTCCAAGAGACTTCTCTCCAGAGACACAGAGGTGACCAACAAGCACCTGACGCGGTGCTCCACATCACTGACCGTGAGGGACTCAAACCCACCGTGACACAGCACCTCACCTGTTAGTTAGGACGGCCGCCCAGGGGGTCGTCTCTTCGGGAGTTCATCCCGTCCCTTCCGCCCCTGACAGTCCCGCGGACTCCGGACAGCACAGGCGCGCAGGCTGCAGGGTGGGCCTCGAAGAGGGTCAGCCCCTACTTCGGAGCTCGGACCACGCCAAGGTCACCAAAGCCGCCGCCGGCCGTCCCGCCGCGGGCACGCGCCCACACGGTCCCTCCCGCATCTCCGCGACCGGAGTCCAGCAAGCGCCCGCGCGGGGCGGGGCGGGGCGGGGCGGGGCCTCGGGCGAGCACGTCGGCCGCGCGGGGCGCAGCCGGGCAGGGGGCGGAGCCACAGGCGAGCACGTCGACCGCGCGGGGCGGGGC